AGGGTTTCTGCCACGTGCTTGCTGAAAGCTTTTAAGAGATTTGATCATCTAAACTTTAAAGAAAAAAACTTTTTCTTTTTTTTTTTTTTTTTAGATGACCCCTCTTTTCCTACTCAGCCCCTCAAAAGCTGTTTTGCTTGTAAGTGAATATGACTGTTTAATTCACATTTATTTTGGATGAAGAAATAATTGCTCTATTTTTTTTTTTCTTTTTAAATCAAGAGCTTAGAAAATGATGCTTTTCGATGGTTGTCTTAGAAAAATATAGTCCTTTGTATTGCCATAAACATCTGTGCTCTAATCTGTTAGAACTTCGGTTTGTGTTGTAAATGCTGATTTAATAGATTTCAATTTTTTCCCCTTCATGTATTTTCTGTATGTTGTTTAAATGCATATGTGAGTAAGTTATGTTTAGGAGGTGATTACTGGATCACGTAGTATATTAAATACCCTGTCACCTCAAACAAAACACAGTTCACTGAGTTTAAAAGTGAGAAGAAATTTTACATTTGGAAAAGGATAAGCATTTATTTCCATCTTGTGTAATGTTTAGCATTGTTTGCTGGGAGGTGAGTCAATGACTTGAATTAATTATAATTACTGAAGAGACATATACTGATTGAGCAAATAAAGTAGTAAGCTCATTCGTGCCAAGGCTATCTAATTAAATGCTAACTTTGGATAAGCTAGATGTGCATGAAAGATTAATTTTAAGAGATTTTTATGACTCCCACTAAATAATGATTCAGTAAAATCTTTGCATTATATCATTAGAACATCTAATCTTAGTCGTATAACATTTAGTCACAGAACTCTATTGTACAGGAAGATGCAGTAAATTATTATTGTTGAAAATTAATCACTTTTCCCTCAGAAATGTTTATGGACTTTGTTTTAATTTTCTGCTGTGGTGTGCAGTGAAGCAAATCAGAAGTGAGAAGGATACAGCGTGCGCATTTTTCTCAATGACTATTTCATTAGCTTCTCATCATGCAGGTACTTCAGGACTGTGGTTAGGAGTGAGGTGTCCCAGGGATGGAGAGGCTCTACCCAACTTCCCGAGTCATCTACCAGAACATTAGTGGCCCTGCAATAATCTATTTAAAACTTACATCATCTGGTATTGGAGGGAGGTGTCTATTTTCTCATGGACTTTGATTAAAAGTTGATTTTAAATCTTAGATAGGCTTCCTGTGTTGAAAGAACTGATGGAGTTTAAATATTTTTTTTCTTTTTTAATTTAATGTGCTGTGTTTATATTTAAAGCATATTAATTTTATTACAGACCATTATTAATGATACAGATATTTCTAAAACTATATGTAGCCAATGAAGATCATTCTATATACAGTTTTCCTGTCATATTTGTAGTAACCAGGAGCAGATCCTTGGTCTTAGATACCAAGCTGTTCTTTCAGAAGAAATTTGTTTATTAATGGGAATAACTTTCCTAAGCTTAGCTGCTGCTTATTATCTAAATACATAAATATACATTGAGTTGCTTAATTTAAAGTATAAAAAATAGAAAGCAGAAAGTTTGCGAATTCATCACTCTCTACTTTTCAGCAACATCAAAAATGGACATTATTCTGTGCAGCTCTCAAATAGCAACAGAAAAGAATAGCTGTAATGTGCCAAAGAACTACAGTGTGCCAACCATCAAGAATTCTGATGACAGAGAGAGAGAAAAGAGGAATACAAAGAAATTAAGTGGCTTGGGTTTGTGGACAGTGTCCCTGTTTTTTTGCCTGTTCAGGCCTGTGTGCACTGCATGGTACCATGTCTCCTCCAGTGAACTGCAGATGATGAAACATTATCTTTGCTTTGAGATGAAAATGCCAAAGAAATAGCAAACGGGAAGTTTTGTAAGATCAGACTGTAGGAGGGCACCAAGTAGCCTTAAGAGAATCCATTAATAAAAACACTAAGAAAATTTTCTGTGATTTATTGTATGTTTTCTGCGTATCCAGTTACTCCTCACTTCCTTAAAGGACTGGTGGAATATAACAATAAAAGCTTAATGGAATCAGATTTGTGATTTCCTAGAAAATTAACGAGATATTTTGTCAATTTTATTCCAGACTTCATTTGTCAGAATATACAGTGTCCAGTGACAAGCTAAAAGAATTTTTTGACAAATTAACTATGCCACAGGTGACAGATCAGGAAAATGTTAATTTAACAACCCCTTTATGCTTCCCAGATTTATTGAAGGCTATTAAGGAAACTCCAAATGGTAAGGCCCCTGGCCCTGAATAGATTTTCCATTGAATTTTATACAGAATCTATTAATAAAGTTTGGTGCTGCCTTTTTGAATATAGGTAATTGTACTTTATCTTCTCGGGCTCCTCAGCATTTTTAGTTGGAATACAATTTTTTACACGTCCAGTAGTGTCTGTAACCTGGTTCTCAGTGATTCCTCCTGAAGAAGTGACAACAAGCACCATATAAACCCCCCAAGTTATTGCTGGTGAAATCCAGCATGGCTCGGGCTTTGACTTGTGGCCACTGAGACCAATAATTGGATCCCTTTTATTGGGTCCCACCACCTACAAATCCTTATCTAATCAGCTTTGCACAGGTAAGTAATTGAGCTCTGTGGGACTTCCACACAATTAGTGTTTTGCAGGATCAGACTAAGAATATGGATTCGTTCCGTCCTGTAGACAGGTACCTGGTGGTTTGGGTTTCTAACGCTGGTTCAGAACAAATACCAATTTGCAAAGAACACAGTGGAGATTTCCTCCAGACCCCTTTGACTTGGTGATCGATCTCAGCCTTCAGCCTCTCTAATATCTTATGGCAATCACTTTTACAGCACTTTTAATTAATAAAAATATTTCACTCACTTTTTTAAAGCTCTGGAAGTGTCATAGTGATACTTTTGAGCCATTTCCTAGTACTGGTGCTGTTGGTATTGCTACACTTGTTCAAAGAGAGGTTGGAATTCTGGTAGGTGTCCGAATTGTCATCTTGATGCTCGTGCTGAATGTTTGTGAGTAAGAGAACAAGGGTATTGGTAGTGGAGGGAGTTTGGACAAGCAAGATGGTAAAAATAGACTGGAGGAGGTAGAGGAGATTGAGAGATGGGGAAGAACAAAGCTAACTAGACAAAGGTTTAGTTAAAAAACCCCAAACACGAAGCAGCAGCACGGTGTCAGGCAAGGAGCTGAGAGAAGCACAGTGAAAGGTGGTACGGGGAAAGTTGCCGTCTTGTTTGTGACGGCTGTAAGATCAGGGTCCCGAGGATGTGTTTATTTTATAAATGTGTGTGTTTATTGGTTTATGAGCTTATCGAACGCTCGTGCTTGTAGTGGTGCCTAATGGAGTAATCTGGCCTGTTTGGCGATTAGTTCCAGTTCTTGGCGCGTTTGGCCGCTCTCTGCCGTGTGTGTCAGCTGTAACCCTGGCATCGACTCTCACATCTGGCTGTCAATTTTTCTTGGCTTTTCCATTATCAGGACTAAGTATTACTGATGATTCTGCTATCCTTGGATTTAAATATGTAACTAACTTAGCATGCCAAGGAGTCACATTAATTTCCTTGATAACTGCTATTTGCTCATTCAAATGCAAATGTAGTTGAAACAACAGGTCTCTTGTTCTGGCTGGTATCTCCAGTCATGACCATAAAGTCAGTGATACTCACAGCCTGTGCGTGCTCGTACATCCTCCTGGTTGGTGTTTGCTCCTGGTGATTCATTACCTGATGCCAGCTGAATTCCCCTTAGAAATAAGTCCTGTAAAGAGGAAAGCAAGAGGGGAAGGACTGAAGGAAGGAAGGAAGGAAGGACTGAAGGAAGGAAGGAAGGAAGGAAGGAAGGAAGGAAATAAGGAAGGAAGGAAAGAAGGAAGGAAGGAAAGAAGGAAGGAAAGAAAACAAAAACCTTCTTATTTTAGCAGTTGCAGTTCTCTTTCATTAATGGTTTCCTTGGAGAAGTAGGGTCATGGGGATGGGTGGTGTCTCAGAGAACCCCGTGCCCACCAGCTCATCCAAATGCTCATTAAAGCTTAACCAGACAGCATGATGGAATGTCTTTTAAATGAGTAAAAACAATTTCTTCTTACCATAAAAACATGAGGAGGTATCTGCACTGTAAAAACACTTTCTTAAAAACAAAATTCATTAGATTTGGATGGATTTTAATAATACTTTTAGCTATGCTAGTATAGATAACTTTAATCTTTAAATTCCTATTATTTCTCTAATTTATAATCACACTGATGGATCAAATGGTTTTTAACAATATATTGAAATTAGCACATGGCATTTAACTCCCTGTTTTATTCTCTCATCATAGATTTTTAGTATTGTATCCTTTTATTCTGTTACTTAGAATTCTGAGTGATTAATTCAAATAATACCATCTTCTCTCAAGGCCCACGTATGTATAGAGATAGATGGGGATCTATAGTTACATCAGGGATGCTTTTGAACAGGGCTTCAGGATGTGCAATCTTTTGTCTCTTTAAAAGATGACTGGTTTAAAATGCAGTCTTATCTGCAGTAGATTAAGCTTTTTTTTTTTTTTTTGTAATGCAAACTTTACAGATCTTTGTCTTGCTGTGTATTTTAAGTTTTATTTAGTTGTTAATCTCCACAATGCTAAATAGATTTTATTTTTTAATACAGTAACCAGTAAAAACCAGTATTAGTTAATCCTTCCTGGTTGTCTTCAAATAGTTCAGAATAGTTTATTGGCTCAGTTGTACGTGTGATTTTGTTCTTCTCTTGGCAAACCAAGGTCAAACCTGAGTTCAAACTTTTTACAGAAATCTGTGAAATTGTTACCAATTATTTAATATATTTTTTTACAGGTACATTAAACAGTAGTAAAAGCATTGAAATTTAAATGTTCAAGCTTCTTCTGATTTTAAGTCATAGCAATGTATTTTTAATCTTCCTACTGAAAAGAATTCCATCCGTAACAGGTTTTTTCTATTAGCTCTCTCCTACTTTCTCTTTTGTACATTCTAATGAAATATATTTTCTCAACAGGGTCACGTTGGTACAACGGCAACCAAAAAAATTGATGTCTACCTCCCACTGCACACAAGCCAAGACAAACTACAGCCCATGACAGTTGTGACGATAGCAAATGCCAAGGTGCATGACCTGATTGGACTAATATGCTGGCAATATACAAGTGAGGGACGGGAACCAAAACTGAAGTAATGTTCTTTCTTTACTACCTCTTGATCTATAATTTTCTTTTCTGCAGCCTTTTTGCATAATGAAATGGATTTCCATGTCAATGTTTTTATAGATAAATCTTAGAGGAACCACCTACGCATTTATCGGTATTTCTTTTTGAGCAGCACACGTGCATCTACATCCATTTCTCTTTCAATTAAGCTGCTGGGTGCTGTATAATGATAAGCGTATGAAACCGTGGATCTGTAAATGAATCATAATTTCAAAACACTCTATGTAAAAATAATATAAATCTTATCTCTTTTGGTGTCACAGAGACTTTTTTTTTTATTTTATGTCCCATCTATTTTTTGGTAGTGTTCTTAATGGTTAAGATCACAAGGATGTCAAATAAAATCCAGAACTCATCCGTAACTCCCTCTCTTGGTTCTGGGAGAATGTCCCCAGGTTCTGACTCTGTTTTGTCTGTGTGATACCATCCCTGAGAGCAGTCACTGTGCTGGGCGACCGTGTGTCTGGGAAGTGCTGTTAGTGTTCTCTGGAAACCATAGAATAGATTTTAGCCGCAGTGAGTGTGGCTGAAAACAAGTCATTATTCTGTCATAGAACTTCAGCGTTGTCACTGACTTGCTTTTGTTGTCATTTTGCAGACATAATGACTTTAATTCGTTATACACGTGTTGAAACGTTTCTGTTTTTCTAAGAACTGAGAGGTTTAGGGGCTAAAGGTGCTTTTCTTTCCAGGGTATCATCCTGGAGATAGCACTAAAATAAAGATAAGGAAATAAGGATCCTGAAATAAACAAAAACCAAAAATACCCAACAGTTTTCTTCAAAATTGTGAATAAATTTGCAATCTTTAATTTAAAAACCTCTGTCATGCAGTATTTTCTGATTTCTGCAAGACTTTGGCCTCAGTCACATTGGTTCTTTGCTGTAAAGAGCAGCATCTGTGCTGTTCTTAGGAATTTTAGCCTCGGTTAATCAATGGATTTTTCAGTATCTTTGCTAATCGTCGCTTATGTCTTCATTGTGAGAGTTCTGCCCCTAAGATTTCTGTGACTAGATAATGGATTGGATTTGCTGTGCTGGAGAACTAGTGTTGTTTAGGAAGAACCGTTACTTTATCATGGTAGGTGACATATGATATATAAACCAGGTACTTCAGAGCCACTCATCTGAGCAACTTTGGTTTTAAAACAATTCAGTAAAATACTTTGGTTTGTGCTGGGTCATAGAACATAGAATAAGAACTTTAACTAGTTTATTACAGAGTTATTAGTAACAGATACTAGCGGGTCACTTTTCTGCTGCAAGGAGGGTTAATAGCTTTGTTTGTTTGTTTCTATAGGAGCCGATGTTCACTTTTTTGTTCCCAGAATATTTGATGAATTTTTTTTGGTGCTGAATTTTCCAGTTTGCTCTTTCAGCATTTTTCAGAAGTGTTTGAGGACTCGGTGGTTTTCTCTCCTGTTGTAGCCCAGTTCCAAGGGGCAAAGGGAGGTGCTGAGAGGTCACTTGTACTGCCCATCTTTGGGATTAGTTGATTTCTGTTTAGTAGATATAGGGCAACCCAGAAAAGCAGCCCCTCTTGAAAACAGTTTCATGGATATTGTTGCCTTGGATATAGGATTTCCCTCAGCTCTTCTCAACAAACATATGAGTTGTTTCAGAGGTTAAACACTTCAGTTTGATTTGCCATTTTTTTTACACTGGAGAAGAAATATATAATCATTTGCAGATGGTGCCATTTCATTTGCTGTTCTTAATTTTTGTTTGTTATATCATAAGTTCAAAAAAGCGTCCTTTGTGTCTGATTAGCTTATTTTTCTTAATGAGTAAGACAGCACTAATGTCAACCTGTGGACACGGATATTTTTCAGGAGCAGAGCACACCTCGGATGGAACAATGCCCGTGAGTAGAGGTGTTGCATGAAACATCATTGCCCACGGCAAAAGTCAGCAGTGGGAGGAAATGAATTTCACTGTCTGCCTTGAAGGATAAGATGTTATGATGTGTCAGAGTGATCATGACCAAGGAGGTTGTCTAATATAATCAAATCTCTGGACAGAAATAATAATATAAATAATAAAGCACAGTCGAACAGCAGCAATTGACAATCTGGGTACAAATGCTCAGAGGAAGGGGCAGAGCCTCAAGATTACAAGAAGTTTGCTTGCTTGTGTAGTTCTTAATTATTACTCATGTCTCCATCATCTTTTTTTAGCATTGCTGACTGCCTGTCCTGTAGCAAGGACTGATTTCACTGTAGACTAATTCTCATCATTTCCAAATAAGGAAAGAGCTGGTGTAGGTTGTACATTCTACATTTGCTATTTGTTCCTGATTTAATCAGTTTAGAGTATAAAAAGAAAAAATCGAGATCATTGTGACACTGCACGAAAAAACATATAGAGGCTGCTTCAAATCTGATACACAATGCATGCAGAATGACAAACATACCTACTGGTAACACAACTTGAGAATAATGAGGAGGTTTTAGGCTTTGTAATGAAGAGAAGCAACCCCTCTGTCTTTTGAAAGAATATATTACTGCCTAATTCTTTTTCCTAAAAGGCAGATGTAAGGTTCTGAAATGAGTGAGTACTAGTTGACAGCTTTGAGAACATTCTGTATTCAGCTAGGCTGCCTTTTTAAATTATAATTGTATTATATTTGTCTCTACTCAGTGTCTTGGTATGGAGAACCACTAACATTGTTAGCAACCCTGGCCTCTTATGTATGAACTTTGGTCGTAACCAACTGGACCATTCTCTTGCCAACCCCTGATAGATATGCTGTAATTGATCCACCTGCAAAAAATAAACGAAATCCCTTTCTAGGAATACATTAATAGTGAGATGCAAAATGCAGATGAACTTCCTATTTTTAGAAGTTAAGAATGCTGTTACATCTGTCAGTTGCTGTACTTCACTTTTACATTCTGTCCATAGCAAACTCAGATTCTCAAGACTTTGCACCTCGTCACTTGAAGCCTAAAGTTCAGGACCTTGATCTCATCCTGGTGGAGGCTCAAAATGCAGAAGGGTTTTACCCATTGGATTTGTTTTTTTAACAGACTGTGACTTAATCTGTGTTAATGTTCAAGAACCCACTCCAAGATTGAAGACATTTGTAACCCTTTTAATTTATGGGATTTAACCGACGTTGTGTATTTTCAGCATAATTGGTGGAAGATAAGTTGTTGTCACCACCACTTTTTTTGGCACTTGGATTGCTCCGAGTGTGCTGTGTTCCCTGCGTGTCTATGCGTTCCCCTGGCTTTAATGAGAATTATGCAAATGCATCAAGTACCAAAGGAAAATGTTAACTGTATTTATACAGAGCTTATTTATACCAGGCTGCACGTTGAAGAATTCTGTCAAATAAATAGGTTAGAAAATCAGCAGTGTAAGGCACAGACTTCCCACATCTCTGGGAAGATGGGAACGGGGCGACTGTTCAGACTGGGAAGTCTCCTATTGTGGGGTGACTTGAGGCAGGTTGAACTGGACAGAAGGAGCGTGCAGAGCTTGGTGTCTGTATTCATGGAAATCTAAATAGAATAAGAGAAGGACCTGAAAATCCTGCCAGGCATTTCTCACTGTGTGTAAGCAGGATCAGCTGTATCTATATATTATTCACAGTCTTTTGTTAACTGGTTCTTAAAAAGGCTGGCACCAAGGAGACGGCCCAGCCCTGCCTGCCTGGGCTTGCTCAGAGCCTGGTGCTGCAGGAACTCTTCCCAGCACTGCCTTTCACCAGGTCCCCTCAAAGTTCCTGAAGCGCTCTTGAAGAAGTTAAAAACCAGTTCTACAGCAATGTTCCAATTCTTCATAACAGTCCAGAGACTCCTGAAAGTTTCTTTAATAGTCTTGCAGAATTTTCAGAATTCATAGTGACAAACATTGCTGGATAACCTTTTTGTTAGCAATTTTCCAGTTTACATTAATAGTAATGCATCATTATTACCTGTTTTATATAATAAATGTCTTAGTTGTGACAAGGTGCATATAGATCACCTGGACTGAGCACTCTCAATAAAGCATAGTTGCAACCAAAGGTTTGGGAATTAATTGAGAAAATTGCAAATCAGGTAGTCGGCGAAATAATTCATTGTCACATCCAATCAATAAACTTTGTAAATCAACTCATTTAATTCAAAAAATGATCTATATAGATCAAGCGACCAATTAAACAATTAGCATACACTTTGCAATTAATTAATTTAAGCATCAATCATGCAATTAAAACTCCAAATTTAAACTGCAGAGTTTAAAAACACTGCCACGTGAACATTCAAGCTATACTTCATGGCTGTGGAAAACGCCTGAATGCTGGCACATTTACAACAAGAAAGAATACTTATTTTCAGCTCAATAATCTAAATATTAGCATTTGAAATAGATTTTCATATTAGGAAAATATGATTAATACTCTGGTGTATATATAAATAGTTATTTCCCTATAGGGAAATGTATATGTATAGGCTTTTGCTTGTGGAAAAAGAGAGGCTTAGATTTTTCTTTCGTATTTTCTTCACACTGTTTAAAACTTTGTGTTCTTTACGTCTGCTTTAGACTAAATACTAATTTTTAACTGTTTTTAGTGATTGGAATTCCTAGATATTTAGCAAGGTAGCTTTTCTACTAGTTGTTGCTACCATGTTGAACAATTTTTTTACTTTTCCTGTAGTTTATTCCACTGTTTTCCTGCCCAAGAGCCCTCCCAGCTTTTCAAGCCTGTGTTCAGTAAACTTTTCCATGGGTGCTTATCTGTGAAAAAGCAGATAGACTCTGCTTGTTTGTCTTTAATTCTAAAATGTAATGGTCATATAAATAATTGAATTTTCACAGGTGGAGAAATATTGCTTCCAGCTTTATGAAGTCACGAAGCTCTTTTAGACTTTGGTACATTTAATCGCTGACAGTGTTTTGTTTGCAGTTCAGTTAAAGATGAAGTAAGAGTCACTGCTTTGTTCTGAGGTTTTGGGGGTTCTTCTATTACCACATGGTTATGGCAGTGAGAGATGTTGGGACTTTGGGATGTATTTCTATACATGCCATCAGTGGCTTTTAAGCATCTGACTCCTGTCACAGGCGTGTCTGCTGATTTGTTTCTACGGCGTTTAGCAGCTGGTATTGATCGGCGGCACTGAGTCGTCTCTCCGGCTTCTCTCCTCAATGAACTCACTTTGTCTTGGTTTCAGCGACAACGTCAATGCCTACTGTCTCCATATTGCTGAGGACGATGGCGAGGTTGACACAGATTTTCCACCCTTGGATTCCAATGAGCCCATTCACAAGTTTGGCTTCAGCACGCTGGCGCTGGTTGAAAAGTACTCATCTCCCGGCCTGGCAGCAAAACAGTCGCTCTTTGTCCGCATGTGAGTATGGAGGCTAACCTTCTCGGTCACTGGGAAACATCTTATTTCTTCTCTACTTTTCTTTATCTGCATGTAGCAAAATTCCAGGGGCGCATGTATTGATGGTTCTCTGCAGACCGTGCCCTGGTCTGGGGTCTGTCACGGGGCAGGTAGATGCTGCTGGCAGCAACTCGGGTGAGCCCATCGTTGGGAGTCTAAAACCACAGAGAAGGAAATCAGCCCTTCTGCCTAGGAGGGGTGTGCAGAACATTGAACTGTTGCAATGCTGCTAGTAAATATTTGGAATTTATACAAAGTATGAGCTCAAAATCTTCACTTTGCTCCAGCCATGCTGCTTATTTCTGAAAAATATGCTCTGAATAATAAATGAAATAACTTATATAATACACAGGAAGTACAAGCAATTTCAAATTAACGTGTTGGCACAAAAAACCCCCCAAATCTCTCGGAAAAGCACTACTTATGATGCAGTTGTCCTATTTCTAATCAGCAGGACCTCAGCAGCAGTTCCACCTCCCCCGAGCTAATGTCCAAAATCTGAGCAATGTTCATTGCTAATCCCTCTTTCTATACTGAGTTCAGGCACCGGGGATTTGGGTAGGAGACAGTTGAGAAATTTTTTCTATTTTGCATCTCTTTTTTTCCTCCTCATGATGAAGTATTTCAGCTGCTGCTGTGTCAGGCTTGTGGCTTGTAGTGTTTATTAATATTGAATCACTGTTGAAAAAGGTTGATGCTTCTGAGAAGCTTCACGATGAAGCATGGTGGGTTTTTTTCAGATCTCCCCCGTCCTGCAGACTGGATGTATTTTCAGATGTTGTGCAGTTACTGAGCTGACAGTTACAGAACCTCGCCGGGGACCCCGTTTCAGCAGGCCATGTTTGAGCAGAAACAGTTTGCAGAACTTTATACACTTAAATTCCTGCCAAGGCAAACTCTAGCCACTTGAGTTAGTTATAAATACCCAGTGGCGGTGGTTGGAAGTAGCCCACAGAGCGTTTTATATTCCGAGCCGAATGTGAATGTCTTTGTGGCTATATAGAGTAGTAAATAATTGAGTTTGATTAGGGAGAGGGACCTCATTATCCCCCCACCTGTGCCCAGCTGGTAGGGGAGGGTCGAAATGAAGCCATTAGCTGTCTCTCTTACTGGCATCTCAAAGAGCTCAAATACATCTGTGTCTTATTTTCTTTTCTGGCACAATCAGTCGAGCAAGCTAAGCAGGCATGACCGAATTTGGCAAGTTCCAAGGACTCTGGCAAAGTGACACAAGGAGAAGACGGAGGGCAGTCTTTCTGGCTTCTTACTGCCCATTAGTCTAGTGAGTTGTGTTTTTGGAACATGTCTGTTGTGGAAAGCGGTACTTTGTCCAATGTCAAACGCGGCATTCGCAAACAGCCTGCTTTGATGTCGGGAGTCAAACAAAGCACTGCGTTCATGTAATGCAGACTTCTTGAGATGATGAAGTAATACCTGAAAGACTCTGAACAAAGGTGGCTTAAAATAAATCTATACTATCATCAGGGCTTTTTCCCTTGGAAATTTTATTATCACAACTTGACGTACTCAATTCAATGGTGTTTCTGGGAGCTGTAGCTCAGCTGCCAGTTGGCACACAGATGAAATTTGGCGTACAGATCCTCTGCTCTCTAACACTTTTTTTTCTGTTTTGATATTATGTTTAAATTGCTTTGACTATTACTTGTGTATTTTTCAAAGCAGCACCTCTGCTATATGTGATAGATTAAGGTTTGAAATATTTTTAAAATATTAGGCCTTCATTGTACAGTTACAAATTTAAATCAAAGCTTGAAATGCTTTTTTTACTTAGATTACAGAAGCAACCCCCAAAAGGCCCGTTTCCAGTTTTCACATGGGTGTAAGTAATCTGCAAAGCATATTTTACAATATTCATAAAATGCAAATTTAAGAAAGTGAATGGAGGTGCCAAAGGTAAGAAGGCAGGCTCCCAGGACAGTGAACAGGGTGGGGCAGGACCCCAAGAAAAGAGTCAGAGCAGGAAGCTGACTTGGTAGATGTCTAGTGAGAGCTTATAGTAGTGTCAGAATATCGCCAATTAAAGTCGGGAGCACACAGAGTTATCCGAGCCGAACCCGAGAAGCACAAAAGCAAGATCATTTAGGCTCAGAATAAAAATTGTGGCTGGCATAGATATTCTGGTCCGTATCACTGCGCACTTTTATCTTAAAAATTACCCAGCTTAAGTTCAGTGCGTTGTGTCAACTGGGATTTTTAGCCTTAGCTTTGGCTTTGTACTGATCAAGTGGACATAGTTTCTAGTCATTCACGGACACTTTCAACCGTGCCAACCATTTCTTGCAGTGAGCTTTAAGTGTGATAAATTCCACTTGAATGTTAGAAAAAAATTAAACAAAATTGCTCCGGATTGGAAAGGCAGCTCCTGGAAAAGTTTGTTTCTCATTCGGAGCAGAAGCCTTTTGTCCTGTAAGTGTTGGGTTTTTGTGTTGTTACACAAACGGAGCCCGTGGAGAGGACGCTGCCTGTTTCCATGCTGCCTCTGAGCTCCTTCTCCCCCAGGCAACACCCCGGCGTCAGCCCAGTGAAGCTCTTGCCTCCTCGGTTGTTTTCTTTTTCCTCTTCTGAACCTTGCCACCCTGGCTCCAGTGCTGAGGCTGTAAAAGAAGATGGAAAGCCAAGTTACCGCAGAATGATCACTATCATTAACATTCACGGGTGGTTCACTTATCATTCCTGACTGCACAGACATGGCAGCCGTTATGAAACGTCCACAGGTGTAGCACGATGATACATATTACATTGTGCCACAATGGATTTATGTATTCTGTAACAAAAGAAAAGTGTAATGAAAAAATACAGAAGGTAATCCTTTATTCCTCCACTGCACAATTTATCAGTAATGCCTGTGGATGATAAGTGCCAGGGATTTCCTTTGCTTGATTTAACCTTGTCACCCAGGTATGTTTTTGCAAAATGACAGAAAATACAAGCTAAGGAATTTCTTTGCCTTCCAATTTGTAAGCAGCAGTTTTAATTGATTGAATAGCATCTGCTTGTCTGTCCCGTTTTCTAGTGTGTTGACTTAAAATAAAGGTATCACGCTAGCAGGGTAAAGCTAAAACATGTAATTTATGATCGTAATTAAAGGTTCGCTGGAATTAGGCGGAGTGAGGACAGTTCATGTCCATTATCAATGCGGAGCATAACTGGGAAGCTGGCAGGGTAAGGTGGGGCGTGTGTTTCTTCCAGAAGAGCCTGGCTGTGCTGTTTGCACAGCAGCAGATTGATGCAGTGGCTCCAGGACTCCCAGCCCGTTTGATATGGCTCCAGCGCGCCGGGGACGGCACGGGGCTTCTCCTCCACTGCGGCGCAGGAAATGTGCCCTGACATGCTGGCCTGACCCCAGGATGACGGCAGAATCACTTAAATCCGCTCTCGGCTCCGATCTGTGGGTTTCCGGAGTGCTCAGATGTCCTTTTTGAGGTTCTGTGGTGTATTGTTAGAGGAGACCAGCACCGCACGCTCAGTGAGCCGGAGCAGAGGATGGGGAGAGCCGTGGTCTGAACTGGGACGGGCGTTTTGGAGCCTCTGGCTCCGTTCCAGAGCAAATAGCCAACAGTTTACAAATGCAGGGTGCGCTTTACATTTCACTGCCCTTGCCAAAGTCTCGCTTGCTGGATAGCACACTAAATATAGTAAAACACAGGAGTTTTTCTTATTCTGCTTTGATCAGTAAAATAAACTTTTAAAGATTGTTCTGGGATGAGATCCAGCTTCTGAGGCAAAGAATGGCCATGGCTCAGGCATGAGTTAGTAATGGAGTGTCAGGAAAATTACTCTGACAGTTCTCAGGCCAGCTGCTCGATAGAAAGAATCGACCGAGTCGGGATGGCCTGAAACGCGAGTGGGATCAGCAGCAGCGTTTGCTCTTCAGCAGCTGAAGCGTCAGGAATTGAAAGACAATCTCAGTTTTCGGGAGGTTCCAGATCCGTGTCGGTGTGAGCAGCCCAGCTGGGTCAGCTGTGGTCAGTTGCCCGGTGGGAAGCGGGGCTGATCTGTGGTGGAGGCTGCAGGCCCTGCCTTGGCTGGGGGAGAACACATTTGAAAAACATTTTGTACTAAAGGAAAAAAATTAAATTGTGGCTCCGGTCGTTTTGGCCATAGACGATTTTGGAAGACTTTCTTCACCTTTGCTGTTTTGTGTTGGTTTTTTTCTTTCTCCTGGAGTATTTTAATTTATTTTCCTGTATTTTGGTTGCAGTGCTCTGGAAACCTACTGTCTGTATTGCAGAGTGTTATGTGAGTTACCTGAAGGCACCAGGTGTCTTTTGGATTGGTGTTCTGCTGGTTGGGTCCAGCGTGCAAAGCTTTTCTTGTAGCGCTTCACTGACAGGCTTAATGTCGTTTAAATAAAAGTGCAAAGGTAGTTTCCTTTTTGTAGTTACAGCATAATGGTACAGAGGTTTTTCACTGTAAAAAAATAATCCACTAAATTTAGCTCAGCAGGTCAGTTTGGACTAGAGCTGAAATGATTTTGGGAAGTGAGGCAAATGACCAGGAAGCTGCTGGGCGAAGGCAAGATGCTGTGCAGCGCTCATGCAGGTTGCAGGGCTCCGTAGCAGCCTGAGGGAAGATTTGCTCAGCAGTAATGAGTTTAGGAAGGTCTCAGCTCACTGCATGGCCTTGGTCCCACCCCCGAGCCCTCAGGTTGTACCAGGATGGCAGTCTCACCTCTGCAGACGTGGATGGCACTCCCTCCTGTGGAGCAGGGGCTCAGCTCTGCTCCTTCTGTGTTAAACACATGGCAGAAGGAGAGGGGGAGCAAGTAGATGCATGAAAAGGCTGGGAGTATTTGGTTTGAAGACGAGTAAGATAGAGTTATAAATAATAAATGGTCTAGAGAACATAAATTTGGGGCTTTTAGGCAGTTTCATTTTGCCAGGAACAAAGGGAATTGAGAATGAAATTCAGATGAGACTGACTCAGAACTGATGAGAAGGAGCTACTGTTTTGTGCCAGTGACTGGGACGCTGCATGGGGTGAGGAGCTGCCCAAGGAGCCAGGGGATGCTCGGACAACACACCCATCTGATCTGTTCCTCACAGCGTGGCAGGTGTTTTTATTCCCTGTGATGCATGAATGAGCACCCGTTGGGTGCTTCTTGAGCATCTCTTCAGCCTGTTCCAGCCACTCTCGGCAGATGATGTTGGGTTGAGAAGCTTCACTGGGGCAAACGTGGCAGCTCTGTGCTGGGAGAGGGTGGAAGGGGACGGTGTGTGTTCGAGAAATATTCCAGCTGTGATATTCACATAGAGCTCTGCTCCCTGATTAAAATTCCTAGTTGCCAAATAGAAAGCTCCTCCTCCTGTCTGAATAGCTTTGCAAACCCGTTTTTTCCACCCAGTACAGATCTCTCCCCGTGGTGCCCAGCAGCTCAGAAGTGTCTGTGCGAACTGTCTGCAGTGACATCTACTGACACGAGCAGAGATTGACTGCGAGGTCTAAGGGGCAAAATTTGCTGATACATTAATCAGGATCTCTTCTATGATATTGTCATCTTCTCTGCTTGCCCAGTGATGCCACTTTCAGTGTGTGGCCAGCGGTGTCTGCTGTCACCGTCGCAGTGTTTCCACCGAGCGTGTCCTCTCCTGCGGGCGATGACCCCACTGCCGGGACCCTTTCCGTGAGACTTTGTGCCATCAGGTTCACAAAAACGTTACATTTGAAATCATGCTGTACATTACCAGTGCTGGAAAGCTGCTGTTATTTCCCCGAGTGTTGTTCTTCCACTTCTTCTTAATGATTTGTTGCATCTGCCATCGGGACGTGTATGAAAATGACATTGCAAACTGTTTCTCTTGTATGCGCTGTGAAACGCCTCGCAGACGCTTCATAATGAGCAGTTGAGGGGCTCCACAGGTACATTTGCTCATTTTTCTTTTCTAATGATGAACACAAATTGATCAAAAATAAAGATAAATTAGGAAAATCCTCACACACCTTGAATCTCAATGCATTTTCCCCGGTTTTGTCTCTGCCTTTCCAAGGGAGTTTGCTCAGTTTCTCCTTTTAACTTACTTTTCTAGCACAACTTTGTTAATTGTTGTGCCTTCGCTCGAAACTATTGAAAATTGCGGCGAGCTGCCTGATGATTGTTTTGTAAAAATGCGTGTGCATCTGTCTTGCAGAAATGCTGCTCATGGATTCTCACTTATTCAGGTGGACAGTATGAAGGTCACCATGAAGGATATCTTACAAAAGGCCTTAAAGAGGAGGAAGGGATCACAGAGAGGCTCAGGTGGGTTATTTATTATCTTTTCTAGAGGGTAGGGTGTTTTTCCATCAGCCTATTTTGTATCTCTTTTTAACTGTTGTGCAAGATGCTCAGATTTTTCCAGCAGCACTGTGATTTTCAGCACCACTCCAAAGCAGTTCTGCGCTCAGGTTTGTGTTCTAGATGCCGGCAAGAAGCAGACAGCCAGGAGCTGCATCGCGGTGGCAGCAGAGCAGGATATCCATTACTGCAAATCTTTATTTCTGATAACAAAGCCATTTGCATGCAGGTCCAGCTAGTGGTGATTTGAGACGATGGGTGGAAGTACAGTAAGACCAGTTCTTGATAGAATTTATATACTTTTAATTTATGTAAGAAAGTGGTGCTTAGTATGATTTTAAATAATTTAAAGGATTCATTGTTACTTGTAGAGAAAAAGATTTATTTTCTGCAATGTTGTCAAAATAATGCTGCTATAGTTAAGACATATCAACATTAAAAAAAAGAAGATTTACAGTACTGCACTTGTATTTTAGAGCAATGCTTTTCCAGGGTGTAAATGTGCATTCACATATATGTTAGTATGTATATATTTCAAAAATATAAGGCTGAGAGATCTTTCCAGCAACAGGAAATAATTACTGTGAGAAATTGCACCGAGTCTTGTCACGCAACAAAGGAACTTTAATATAAACCTATCCATATACTGGGTAAAGATAAGGATCTTGTCTTTGTAAATGAATGAAACCTCCTTATATACCCTTAGTTTTAACTACGGGAAAAGAAAATAAACCCTGTTCTCTTTAGAAAAAGTAGTTCAGTGCAGTTTTTAAACGAGTGTGTAATCTGTCATGGATTTAATTAGCTATCTTCAGATGAGAGCTGAAGTTTTAATAAAAGTTAGAAGAGATAACACAGTGAAGGACACGGATGAGCTGTCTCAAGGCCATATTCCAAGGGAACGATAAGAGCTGTAAAAAATGGCAGAGGAGAGCAATTGAATGAAGCAATGAAAATCTGATTCTCGTAAAAAAAAAAAAAAAAAAAAAAAAAAAAAGAGAGAAAAAAAAGGCAAGAAGGAGAGAGAGAGAGAGAGAGAGAGAGATGCTGGTAGGGGTTGTTGTAGATGAGACCTGCCAGTGTCTGCAACAATTTGGCTGCTGGCCAGGAGCCATTGTTCACCCTCGGCTGTGGCGGCTCGGTCCAGATGTGCCAACTGCACGTTTCGGCTTTTGCCAGCTGACTGCGCCGTTTGATAACCAGCTCTCTGGATGCCCATCACTGGCCGCAGAGATAGAATTAAATGATGATGATCTTCCCACAAGTTGGGAGAGGAAACAATGCATATAAATCTTGATTTCATCTCAGCGTGAGAAGTCTTTATCCATCATCACTCATAATGAACAAGTCGTTAGCTGCGATGAATGGTGTTCTGGTTTTTTCAAACACCTCTTTTGTTCACTTTTTGGGTGACTTTTATTTATTTCCTGGGGTCAGATTTCTCTTCCCTGAAGGGAGATGGCTAAAGGATTCACTTAGCTCAGTCTTTAAACCACTTTCCTCGTTGGTGTAACAGATGTTTCACTCTTTGTCCGTTTGAAATTTGGTTTTCCCTTTATTTTGTTACTTTTGCTCAGTAGTTTAGGAGTGGAATGGACCTGTCATTTATTCCTTCAGCTAATGCATTAATTTCTACGCTCTTGGCACTCCTGCTCAGAAACCTTTGTAGTAACAGGGTTGTATACACAAGCATTTATCATTTGGGGTTTTTTTAATTATTTAAGAAATAATTTAATTTTACTTTTTACAAATTATCCATGTGACATCTGACCCCTTTGAGGTATGACCATCGTCCCTGCTGTGGATATAAGCACAGTAGAAGTCACGACTAAAAACCTTTTGGTTACTTAGAGGTATATTTACTTTTGAACATGTAATTGGATTTCTTGCCATAGTCGGTGTTGCTCACAGATTTCAGTTTAAGCTTGTGCATAAAGACTTCCAGCTTACAAGTAGGTTTTTCAACAAGCAGGTTCCTTGCTGAGCAAGGAATTACCGTTCCCCTCCTTGCGGCTGCCAGCCTTGCCTACCTCCTGCCGCACGAGGCTGGTAATGACACACAAAGTTTCCCTTTTCAAGTGGCATGAAAAGAAACGGGAGCAATATCCTGATCACATCTAGCTCTATTCAGATGTTATGTTAGATAAAATTATTGCAAACTATTCAAACTATTTCACATTCCTTGCAGTTTTCTTTTCGTAGTGTCACAAGGCTTTTTTGCCTTAGATGTAGGAACTCTGACTGTTTTTAAATAATAATTTTTGAGTGAATCAACAGGAAATGCAGGTGGTAAAATAACCTGTATGTGTTCTAGCTGAGAGAACCATGGCCCTGAAGTCGTTTCACAGTTGTAGTGAAGCGGTGCTTTGGGAGCCCGGTGACCTGTCCCACACCAGGCAGCAGCGGGGGGTTAATGGGAATACTGCATCATCTCTTGCCAGGTGCCCAGATCACCAACTGGAAGAAGTACAGGGGAATGGCTGCAAGTTAGGGAGAAACCTGTAACAACCAGTCAGTGCTACATACTGGAGAAGATAAATCTGCAAAGGAAATTATTGAGGCAGATGTTTAATTAGTTGGAGTCAGGCTGGATAAATCAGGATAGGAACTGTCTGTGCAGATATGCCGGTGTGCTGTCCTTTTCTCTGGACTGGTTTCATTGTCTTTAAAAACTAACTGTGCTTTTGGCTTAGGAAAGGAGCAGCAAAACCAGCCATATAACCTCTCTGTTACTGTAATGGATTCCCTTGCGTGCACTCATAAAACAGGAAATGTAATTGATGTTTTCTTATGGTAATGAAAAATAACTAAGCCGAATACTTTATCATCAATTTGTTTAACCTATTGCGTGCTCAGCAGCATGTATTGCGCGGGCATATTTTACATGAGAGCTGGAAATAAAACACTCTTGGTTGTGGAGTGAGCTCCCAGAGGAGACTGGTCTAATCCTGCGATGGACCACCTTGGGGGAGGCTCGCTGACATCTCTCGTGCAAGAGTTTTCTCAAAATAGCCAGAATGGGAGAGAAAGAGACTAAGGATGGGGCCATGTCCTGGCCACGTCGGGCCACAGCCCTGGGGAAAGCAGAGCTGAAAGCTCCCTTCAGGGCTGCAGGGACCTTGCTGGGCACGTCACATTGGCCTGGTCAGTGCTGAGATGCTGGGATAAAGGCCCTGTGGAGAACCCCAACGTCCATAGGTAGTTGAAGGGTAGTTTTGTGTAAACTTGCCATGTCTGGATCTCTGTGAGAATGTTTTTGAACATTGTGAGAGCTCCAGCAGCTGGTGGTTTAAATATAGAATTGGTCTGTGCTGTGGTGGATCTACAGAAAGGGAATCACATGCTTGAAATCATGAACACAAGAACTTCTCGTTCTTGCTGAATTTATCAGTGGAAATGTCAGATACAGTGCTATGGATTCTGGACAGATACAGTAATGGAGTCTTGAAAAGCCTTTCAGAAGGTGAGATTTGGGTGTTTTAGTACCTGGTATAATTCTACTCCCTGGGAATCAGTAAGAGCCTTAGTATTAACTTTTTTAAAAGGTAGATATTAGGCATGCTTTTAAAATCCCACCCTCATGCTTTGCAGAGAGAGTTTGTAGGCCATACAGATCATGTTGCGTAGCTGTAAAATACCATTATCAATATAACTTGATTTGCTTTACTGCTCAATGATTTTCCCACACAATCAATCTGACCTTACTTTTACCAATTCTTACATGTTACCCAGTTAGCCTAAGACCTTGGGTGATGGTAGATGTACGTTTTAAATCCTCCTTTTTAGGAAGGCTCTCAGCTGGAGCAAGGAAAGCACAGTTTTTCCAAGGTGAGATGCAGAGACCCTTGTGCTCAGGTAGCACAGCAGAGCTCAGGATGGGTCTGACCATCCCACAACCTGCAGTAGGCAAGGCGATCTCACCGGGCTTTTTATATCTCTCCTAAAGCCTGCATTCAATATTTTCTATAAAACATGTTTGCGTGGCTCACAATTTTAAGAACATAAGAAAGATGGTGACTTCATTCTTGATTCTTTGTGTATCTTGATGCCATGGTGATTCTCAAATGAAATATGTGCAGGAACTATACGTACACTTGGAAGTTATCTTCCTCACCTTTGAGCTGTCTCATTCCTTTTGCTCTTCAACAGAAATATTCTCTGGGATGCCAGTTGCCTTTTCTTCCAGAGCTTGACTGAATGTGCTATAAATACTAATGTAAAGTAAATAAGAATGCGGAGAGAATGTGTACAGAGGCTTTGTTTTCAAACAAATTAAGCATTGATGTCAGTATATAAAAACCGAATGATCTTAGAAGGAAATGAGACAAAACTAAACAGTGTAAAATGCTGAAATGTTGGAATAATCCTGTCTGTTTCTGGTCCGTGTCAGCCTTTCTTCATCTGAAATTTCTTGTGAAGAGAGCAGCCTTGTCTGATTAATCTTGTCTGATTTTAAGTAGAAATTCTTTGCAGGGTGAACATGCTACTGATAGTTATTTAATAGCTGCTTCAAACTGCAAACATCCCTGGACCAGAAATGCTCGATCCTTTTAAGAACAAAACTCTATACAAGTTTAATTGTTATAAACAATACCTTCTGCCAACATTTCAGACATGACCTGGATTTTCCATAGGTTAGAGAGTGAGTTATTAACTTAGTATTCTGTTCTGTTTGGAGAAAGACTGATATTTTTTCTATAAATGAAAACAGCTGCTTTACAATAACATTCAAGCCCCTAACAGCTGTCAGCTAGTGCTTTTTGCATTCTTTAAAATGTATAAAGTGACTGAAAATAGTCTAAAATAATCTTACTAGTCTGGATAAGTGTATTATCTCACTGCCACAGGAAGCTGAATAATAAGGAAAGAGAAAAATTCAAGAAACAGGGATAGGACATAAAAATAAAAGTCTCCATATCGTATTTTAGTCTCTACCACAGAAGCAAAGGAATTATAGCTGCAGA